AATTAAATTAATTATAGATAAGTACGTATGTACATATCGCACACATTATCAAAAGGGGCACAACTTCGCAGGATTTATTTCCAATGAATGAAAGTACTTTTTTCTTCAAGTTTATATTCTTTTAACTATAAAACTACTTTTTTACCTGCTTTCGTATTAATTGCGCTGAATCTTTACCATCTTCTCAAGAAGTTATATTTTCGGATCGGAATTTTGAGTTGTGCCTTTTGTGAATATAGTGTGCGATATGTATGTTTTTCATTTAATTATTTCGAGCTTGTTAGTAGCTCGTAGATTGCTACGAGTTTCTTTTGGCCAAAATACGTAACGAATCTTCACACATTACATATCTCTTCATTTGCTGCCATACATTCATAATTACTTTGTCATTGGCTTCCAGAAGCAAAAACACGAAGTTATGGCAAGGACCGCAGCTGGAGCTGACGAAATTAATTCAAGGTCAATGTGGTTTGTATGTAAGATAATTGACAAAACACTACAATAATTAAATGAAATAACACTAGTCATATTCACATATGCGCATAAGTATGTTTGTACATACACACATAGTACCTTATGTATATCGTTACCCTAATACAGAAAGGCCCTAACTCATTTAGTCGCTGAAATGAAAAAAAAAGCCGTAACTGACTAAAATTTTGTGTTGCTTAAGATGATGGGGACTTATATAAATTCGACGACATGCTTCATAATCAGTCAAAAAGGGAATTTTGGATTTTTACTTACATAGTTACGGCTTTTTGTATTTCAGCGACAATGTGAGATAGGGCCTTTTTCTACTAAGGTAACGATATATATCTACAGAAGCAAATAAACTGAATTTTAATACCTAGAGCACTGTCAGACACGAGTCGTGAGGTATGTATGTATGAAAGTACCTACTTATGTATTTACTACCAACTTATGTATGTGTGCAACAGTACTCGATTTATTAAATCCTAGTTAGAAAACTACCAAAACTCGTAATGGGATTCCATAGTCTAAGGAAAGCGATAATTATAACACGTGATCAAAAAGCCAACTTTTCCCACGACAGTCGGGTCTACATAACCGGAACGAACCGAAAACGCAAGAAGCCCACTCGCTCTTGAAAATTACACTTGTAAATAGCCTGTTCCCGTACTCCAGTATTTGCAGGATTTGAAGGTTTTAGACCTGTGCCGCTTCTGCGATGCCGCCAGGGAAACTCCCCTACACCTTCTTGTAGAGTGTGAGGCCGTGGCGCGCAGGAGGCTTAGGAGCATAGGGTACGTCTGGCCAAGAGAGGAGCACATACACTCACTGTCCCCGGGGTCCATTATGAAGTTTTTAGACACTCTGGGGCTGGCTGAGGAGTTGTGATGAGCTAGGGGCACAATAGACCCAGCGGTCGCAGTGCATTACCCAACGAACTATCTATCTAGCTATCCGATATGGAGGGGTGAAGGGGGAATTTTCGAAAATTTAAAATGGCTATATTTCAAAAAATTCCTGACCGAATTAAAAAAAAAATTGTTAATAGTTGGAAATGTAAATAAAATCCTTTTTGAGAAAAATCATTTAATAGAAAAAAATATATATTTAAAAAAAAACAAAAACATTTTTTACCAAAGAAGGGGGGCTGAACACCTTTTGCAGAGAACACTTTTCTGCGTAGGCGGCCTTCGGCCGCACTTAGGGATTATAACGCTCAGACAGTAGAATTCTCCTTTCTGTGTTGCCAAAGAAGGGGGGCTGAACACCTTTTGCAGAGAACACTTTTCTGCGTAGGCGGCCTTCGGCCGCACTTAGGGATTATAAGCCTCAGACAGTAGAATTCTCCTTTCTGTGTTGCCAAAGAAAACGGCGGAAGTATTTTTGCGCAGAACTTCTTTCTGCCGCAGTCGTCCCGCTCACGATCATAAGCATCAGTAAAACAAAATTACACACGGTATTTCTAACTAACTAATCTAACTATATAATGTTATATGTTAAATGAAAGGTATTTGTATGCTCTATTTACCTACCATAGTTTGGTGTATCATTATTAACACATATTTTTTAGTAAAACTGGTTTTTCCTAGAAAAACCTATCTATGAGTTTTCTTAAAATTTATGCACACAAATTATACAAATGTGTGTTTTAGAAAAAATGAAGATTTTGTTTACCTTTCTAACGATACCAATTTTTTTAAATTCGGTCGGGAATTTTCCGAAATATAGCCATTTTAAATTTTCGAAAATTCCCCCTTCGCCCCTCCATAGCACCGAAAATATAAGTTTGCACCAAAAAAAAAAATTGTATACCATTCAAATGAGGAAAAAAGGCGATCAAGCCCACTTTTTCGTTTTGTTCTAGCTTAACGGGCCGTATTCTGCACTTATGCCAATGTTTGTAATGGTTTTATTTCCAGGAACCGGAAACATTTAGACTTGGAAGTCGCCTAAGAAACAGCCATCAACCAAGCAATCTTCCAGTAATCTTTGTAATTAATTCGGAAAGTGGCCTTCAATAAACGCTTTTTAATGCTAATACTAAGAATCCGACAGCGGAAATTTATTTCCTTAAACCATTCAAAATTTATTTGCTACTGATTGTTTAGTACGGTGTGCGCCAGCTCACTATTTGTTGTAGCTACAGATGTTGGGGGTCTTACATGGTGCAAGAAGATAAAATAGTGGAACAAATGCAGTTGGGCTCCAAATCTCAAAAAAAAAAAAAAATATTGGAATCGCTAGAGATGATTGAGCTGAGTATAACGGTATACTTCTTTTTTTCGGCAAACAACAACAACAAAAATTATCAAAGGTTAAAGTTCAAAATAAGCAATTTTTGAAATCAAGATTTCTTAAAAACGGATGGATTCCCTTTAATTTGGTATACGTACTTTATATATATGTTGTATAGTTCTTACAAAAATTGAATTAATGTAAAATAATTATAAAAAAACACCTTTTGCAGAGAACACCTTTCTGCGTAGGCGGCCTTCGGCCGCACTTAGGGATTATAACCCTCACAACGTAGAATTCTCTTTCTGCGAAGAAAAGGCACTGAACACCTTTTGCAGAGAACACCTTTCTGCGTAGGCGGCGTCGGCCGCACTTAGGGTTTGTAGGCTTTTTTTATAATTATTTTACATTAATTAAATTTTTGTAAGAACTACACAACATATATATAAAGTACGTATACCAAATAAAGGGAATCAAATTTGCTATTAAATGAAATCAAAATTTTCAAAATCCATTCATTTGGTTTTGAGAAATTTTGATTTCAAAAATTGCTTATTTTGAACTTTAATCTTTGATAATTCTTGTTGTTGTTGTTTGCCCAAAAAAAGAAGTATGCCGTTATACTCGCTCAATCATCTCTATCGATTCCAATATTTTTTTTTTAATTTGAGATTTGGAGCCCAACTGCATTTATGCCAAAATAGTTTTATTATACTCACCACTGTAAAATATCAGCGCGATAATCTTTCCTCCTGACTTTATTAAATAATTTATTATATTTTTGGTTAAATTCACGTGGCTGTTGTAGCAGCCGATACCACGTGACATTGATACATTGCACTTTACACTTTACATTTCACAAATTGCACTTTTCCACATCAACACAAACACTTTACACTTTGCACTACAAATTAAAATTTGTATTTAACACTTTTCAACAATATTTTCAGAATAAACTAAATTTATTTTACTAAACACTCCGCGAGCATAAATGCGCCAATTTTCACTGACAACCGGAACTAACAGATTGAATGCTGCTGTGAATAAACCACATGCAGAGGGCGCTGCCGACAGTTTTTAAGGCATACACACTTTTAGCAACTGCATAAACCACCTTTCTCCGGAAAAAGTTATACCAGAGACACATAGCCAGACACTTGCAACAAATATAACATTATCATAACAGAAATTTACATTTTTCTCTGTTAACTCTTCTTGAAATGTTAATCGCGCTGTGGTGATATTCCATGGATTTATTTTTCAGCCAAACAATTTTACGTTCCAAAAATTTGCACCTTCTCTATCTATCTAAGTTCTCTGCTACAACAAGCAAATATTTGTTTGTGTGAAAGACGAGGATGACACTTTCGCCGTTTTCTACCAGCCAACTTCCGTTTCACAACGCGCTGTCAAAATCGGATTTGCCAACCGCTCAGTGTAGATGCCGCGTTATTTCGGTATGCTTCTTACAAAATGTATGGGCAATATAACTTTTGGCAGCCAGACAACGCTGCGGTTTTGTTTAGGTATGCCAGTAAATTTGAGAAAATGCAGAGTGCAGAACCAACTACCAAATACTCACCGAATCAAATGCTTTGCATTTCTCGAAAGAGAAACGTTTACAATTTTGAGACTTAAAACTCAACCAGGAAGTGAAAATAATTTTCCAACCCCTGGTTGGCAAACTAACACCTGATTTACATGATTCAAGTACTTGAAAGCAATTCTTGTTCATTCTCTTTTGTGTTTTTTATTTGCTTTTACACGTTTCAATTCTGTTGAATTCAAGTCTTTGGTTCTTTAAATGGGAAGCAACGAAAATGCCAAAAGCAAAGCACGAAAGTTGAAACGACTTGACGGTACAGACGCATGTGTACTCGTCCCTTTTCTTCTCACCCCCTCTCTTCCACATGCGAGCAGAATTGAATGCAATACTTGAACTGTGTAAAAGCAGTCTTAGTGATGAATGACGATTGCTCTATTTAAAAATGCCGTTTTTTTATAATTTACTGTTAATCCCAATATATTTCCTTAAAATCTTAATCCATCAGCTATTTTCGACAATGGGTATTCTTTTTCACCATCCGACAGCACGAAAATTCTCCACCATTTTTCTTATTTTGCTCGTTCAGCGTAAACAAAGAAAAAAACAATAAAAGCGAATCCCCGCTAAAGTAACGTTTCAAAGCGTATGCAGCAATAACAAAATAAGAAATAAAAAGATCGAATAGAAAACGTCAATACACCACTGACAGTTCTGTCAACGAATGTCATACGAAGCACAGCAGTGAAGAATTCATTGTTCGCAATTTCTTTGACGCGTTTGGGTGTTCGATTTGCGTCGTCGCGCTAGTTTACAGAAAAAGGTGAAGAAAATATGTGAAATACAGAATTTTAAATTTACACAATGCAACTACAAAATACAGAACTAGCATTTAAACGAATATAACTTCTAAAAACTTCGAAGTGCAGTTGAAAAATCTACAACTAAAAGTGAGTTGAACTGGTGTGAAAAGGGGCGTGCTTGAAAAATTTTCACCTCCACCCGGGGGTCTCATTGCGGACACAGCAAATTGTGTGTATTTCTTATAATATTGAGTGAATTTCGTCAGCTAAACCATTGAAGTCAAGATACCACGTCAATGTAAAACTGGAAGCGGTGCTTCTGGCGGAAAAGCTTAATTTATGGGTCAAGTCGCGAAGTAAAACTGCTGGCGCTCCGACAACGTTATAAACGGATGCAGTCGTCCTCGAAACCAGTGTTCCCAGTTGCAGCTAGTGGCAAAAGAAAAATCGATACGCGGTTCGATGTGAAAAACAAGAAAACAAAGAAAACGCTCGTGAAAAATACGTATGTTAATGAAAATACGACGATAATCGTGCAAACATGCGTTCAATGGAAAAACAAGAGGAGAAGATGAAGTGCGTGTAAATATAGATGCAAAAGAAAACAAAGAGTAGAAATTGAAAAAGTTGTAAATCAAAATAAAAACATGAATGAGTGCGCAGGAAAATGTATTACCAACGATCAAGGGGATGAAGAGTGGTGACGGGTCGAGGATTGTTGATTTCCACGCGTGTGTTCATAAGAGCCTTCACCACCCACTTAACTAACTGCCAACAAAGCGTGCAAAAGCTCGCAACTTCCTGCGTCAGGATATTAGAAATGTTGTAAATAACGTAAGGGGAAAAGTTACAAGTGAAATAATGAATTTTTAGTTGGAACAAAGCGGACGGCTTCGTGAAAAAGAGTAAAATCAAGTGGGAACACAATGTGACAGGCTAATGTAATGGCACGGGGGATGATGAAAGGCACAAGGACACACTGAATGATACCTCTGCGTGTGTATCTAAGTATAAATATATACCTAACAGAGCTGGGCACTTTTTGATTACGATTACTTAGCATGTCGAATTACTGTAATTAGTTGCGTTCCAGATGCTTCACGATTTGCAGGTTTTTACAGGAAGTAGTTCCAGGTGACCACCTTCCATAAGGTTTATTTATAGAGAAAATAGCTGCTCGTGCAAATCGTGAATATCGGGAAGCATCTGGAACGCAACTTTTAATTGTAATCCGTCAAATTTAACGATTACGACTACTGTATAGGTTACACGTACCTATGTCCATATACATAAGTGAATGTGATGCTTTTAAGTATCAATTTGAGAAAAATTATTGCTTTTCGCAGTACTAAATGTAATTTATGCCCCTCGCCCTACTTGAAATTTAACACCATTTGATTTATTATTGGAAACTGTGAGAAGTGATAAGAAGCTGTGCAACCAGCTGCGAGTGCTTTGAATATTTAATGGGAACTACGAAAAAAAAAAAATTGTGCAATTGTGTATTGCAAAATTTCCAGCGGTTAAATAATATCTAAGTTTATTCCTGCCATACCCTGCAGAAAATCTTACTAGCTCAGAACTAGACCATTTACCGACAGTACTAGTTCTAGCTCAATACCCAAGCAATGCTTTCAACTGTCCAGGTTTACACGGCGATGTCATTGGCGGTGGCAATTGTCGCCCAGTGCATTACTTTGCTACTTGTTGTTGTTGTTGCAGCATACAAAATCCCCAAAGACTTTTTGGGGAGTGTTGCTGGAGTGACAGTCCTTGGCCAGATATAAATCTGGGTCGTTCCGGTTACGTAGACCCGACTGTCGTGGGAACGTTACTTTGCTACTAGTTTTAACCGGTTCCGTTTTGGACAGTTTTTTTTTTTTTTTTAATAAGAAAACGTTTTTAAGATTATTTTTTGGGTATTTTTTCCGTTTTTTCTTTTCTGTTACAGATTCCATTTTTAACCGACTTCACAAAAAGGAGATTATTATTAGTTCGTCGATTTCGATAATTCTTTTTTCATCGGAAAGGTGGTAGGTAGTACCTCAAGGGTGGCCCCATACTAATTTTGTTTAGGATTCGATAATTTGATCGTGAAGAATTGGTTTTTTTTTGCTGAAAAATTACTTGTAACATATTTTGCCTCCACCGCGATTTGAACTCGCGACCGACGATGCTTGAGTCGGAGGTCTTCTCGCTGAGCTACTTTCGTATAGTACGAGTAGTGAGCATTTGCACATTTACACCGCAAGTTTCAACTGTCCCGCTCTGCAACCGTTTTGCGCTAGTTCAGAGATAGCTCTGATATATATAGTTTGGAGCGAGCGCTTTGTCAGATTATCTCTAAATTTTACTACGGGATATTTATACAAATATACATAAGTATGTATGTATACACATCCGTATATTCACATATATGCAATACTACTATATTGGCAGTAAGAGCTAGTACACATATTCGTACATATCCCAGCAAACAATTAGGTTTGATATAAATTTGAGATTGATTTGAAATCAAAGCCTTTCTCAAATGTCAAACGTTTGAAAATGATTTGATATTGATTTGAAAATTACAGCTTTCTCAATAAAAAGGGGAGTTTGATCTCCATTTGAGAATATGGTTAACTCTCAAATCAATTTCAAAGGTTATTTTTCAATTGCACTTCAAATAAAAGTCAAGTTCAAAGTGGAAATAAAATTTATTATAGGAAATGTATATTTCATATTTATTTTTTCTTCGCGATGTACATAACAAAAGGAGCAATTAAGATAAAGTAATTTATAATAAATTCATCTTGACGGGCATCTTGCAGCTTCATTAATCCGCGCTAACATCAAATCCACTATTTGTGGGCTTTCTCTTTGAAATTTTTTTTCTGTTCATTGTTTTTTTTTCAATTGATCTTAATTTTATTCTTACAAATTTTGATTTAACTGTGCAATTTTATATCATTTGATCAAATCTTCAAATCAACCTCAAATGAATTTCAAATGTAAAATTTAAACCTCGTTTTCAATTTGAGAATCATTTGAGAAAAACATTTGATATCAAATTGCGAAATCCATTTTTCTCGAACGTTTGAAACTGTGTTTACTGGGATGCTACTAGAATTGTGGGTCTGATGCAAAGTTTATACATATTGTATTTTAAAATCCATGTCTAACGCTTACTACCCACATACATTAGGATTAGAGATATGAGGCCCATAAATGTAGTAAGGGTTTTGGCTTTTTGAATTTTGAGTTGCGTCGTTATAGCAGAGGATACGATTACGAAACTTTCTCCAAGCAACTAAGGGTTATAAATGTAAATCAAAATACCGCACCGCAAAAGTGGGTGCCTCAGTCATGCCGACTCTAATCCTTCCCAGCTCATCTGGCAAATGACAGTTTAATAATATAAGCGATTCGAACCCAACAAATAGATCTCGTGTGTTTTCCCTAGATGGAGTTGTAAGTCAGAAAAGATGAATATTTATTTTCAAGTAGTCTCACACCTAAGAAGGTCAACGCACTGCTGCTAAATAAAAGGAAAGAATAATTTGCAACTTCATATTTTTTGCTTGTGCTAAATAAAACATTAGCAATTAAGCAGATAATAACTAAAAGTCAAAATAAGCTACTTAAAATAATTTGGCTGTACCAGTATAGGCGGCAGCTTATTAAATTTGACCTTGAAATGTCACAGTTTAGAAGTTAGTAGAAATACATTATTGGCAACAAGACAATTTTTGCTTCAGATATTACTTAGTATGTACATACATATGTTTAAGCATACGTTTTTCCTTAATGTCCACCAACATAATTGCTCACTTTCGAAAATGTGGTGTTGGAAAAATACAACCTAATATGTATTTAGAAATGTAGTTTTGGCTATTCATCGACAAGTAAGTACATGCATAGCATTTGCACAAATTCACCGTACCTATGTATATGAATGCAAGTAAGTAAGAAAGTAAACTAATTCGTACATACATATATGTATGCTCAGTCATCTGAAAGACATGTTCCACCTTTCATTCTTCACATACTCAAAACACACACAGATGGTCGCTTCTACTTGCCAGTCATTAGTTTGACCCAAATTTCCGCTACAGCCAACTACTCGTAAAAGCAACCGCGCACAGCTGTGTTGAAGTGATCAGCGCGACGTTGAACAAGCAGACCGCTGTTTTTTTTTTTTTTTTTTTTTTTTTTTAACAAATCATTGAAGCGATGCTGCATGAAAGGCCAAACAAATGAGCAAGCAAACATACATACATCTTTCTTCAGCTAATCCTCTACTGAAATTGGCAAATTAGTTTGGTTTAGTTGTGTACTCGTTCATGTGCTTTCTTCACATTCATTCATGGATTACTACTGGCTATTGTTGCTTCTATAAAAGATATGCATTTCGTTGTGTTTACTTAAAAATTAAGTTCTTTTAAGCACTTTAGCTACATAAAAAGTTTTATTGCTGTGCATACCTACCTACATACATATATGTATGTATTCAAAGCCACATTGTTCTCCCCCTGTTGCTCCCAGCCCTGCACTTGGACAGCTATTTCCTCAATGACTTTCATTGTTTCCTCGCAGCACAGTGACCTTTATTGTGTTCATTTGTTTTGCGCGCGCTTGCCTCTGCTTTACACATGTTGCTGTTGTTGCCGCTATAGCTTTTATCACTTTGGTCACATTTTTTCCCCAATTTTCACAATTTTATGCTTTCTGCTGTTTTTGCGAAATGTTCTCGTGAAATTTTTTCAGCAATTGCATTATTTCTGACAATTGTGATAAATAAAAATAAGCAGACGACGATGCGAAATGGCGTGAAATTACTTGTGTGCAAGAATACATATTCGAAATGTGTAAATATTTTCGCAGGCTTCAAGTATGTAAACAGAATTTGTTTTATTGTTGTTGGTTTATTTTGATAAACTTGGCGAAATAAGTATGTCTGGCCGAGAAATAACTTGAATCACTTCAAAAGGTAAGCCGACTCTTAAACGATCTCAGAAATATTAGAACATTTGCAAATACACTGCCCCATGCGATTAAGTTTCATTCTTTTAGCTTAACACTTAATCACCAAGATTGAGTAAGTGCGTTTAAAATTTCATTCGGGAAAGAAAATGTACAATGCATATCACATCCCTTGGGTCAATCGAAATACACGGGCGTTCGACATACTCAGTGGTCCAGCACATTGATGTAATCGGATATTCACGCCACTTTTTCTCACATGACGATTTTTGGTAATAACTACACACCAGCGCCACTGGACTTCTCTTTTTTGCAATATTAACTGGACTCCAGCGCCACCTGGTGGGTCAAATTTTGAACCTAAACTATCCACACACACACAAAATTTCGTCAAAATCGGTCGTCATTTAGGATTTTACTCACAAACACACGTACAGAAGAATTATATATGCACGCAATGATAGGTACAAGTTTCAGTACGTTCGGAATGCACCACGCCCCTTTTCAAATAGCCCAACTTTTCTCCGTGAGTATGGCATTGATTGCATATATGTATCTCCATGCTCTCTACCGTGAACACTTGCAGAGATATGTGGTATGAAAAATTCGGTTTGTATTGGTTTGGTGTCTTTTACAATAACTCCCATTTCTTTCATTAGTATGGGATTGACTTCATATCGAGCCCTAACCGCCAAAATAACGTAATCGACATTTTTTTCAAAATTTTCTTTTTGATGCAGAAATGCATCTAGATGCTTTAGGAATATTTCTCAAAAATATTTTCGGCAGTAAAATTTCCTAAACCTCTTCAGTTTGATATCCATTGCAATATTTAATTTATCTTATAAATTAAATTTAATTCAAATGTTCAAACATGTGGCAACCTCCATAAAAATATTTTCGGCTGTAAGCCTTCTTAAACCACTTTATTTTGACAGCCATATTGCAAAATTTACTTTATCTTATCAATTTACCTAAACTGCAATTTTCAAACAGGTGGCAACTCTCTATTTTTTTCTTTCTATATTTTA